CTTGAATTGAAGGTCTTCCTCAACTAAAGGTCACTAATAAAGATGTTTTCAAAGTGTTTTCATTTTGTAATACTGACTGTGATTTTCCTGTTACTCCAAGGTAAGTTTTCTGTCGTTTATGACATGCATTTATATTTCATGTGCTTTCAAACACGCGGTCACTTCCGCGCTGAACCTATAACCTCATAACAGTCATAAGTGGGAATGATCATAAATCTAAACACGACGCTTTACGGAGCGTTTTAATTAAAAGTCGCTGCGAATATAGAAATATGCAAGTTTAAGTACAAGCTAGTATACAACTAAAGAAGAGCGCGTTTGTTTTTTCGAAAATATTGATTCTTGAAGTTTGCAGTTTGCTTGGCAGGTTAGCACTTATAGTTAAAACAAGTACAAGAGGGGGGTAATGGGATATTTTCGTGCTGCGTATTGGGGTAATTTAATTATTCGTTCTTCGTTCAGTCATCTTTTTATTAAACGTTTTTCGATCCCGACATGGATGCCGTCTATCGTGCTTGCGGTGTATTCAATATCCGTTCTCCGTTTTCAGCTGTATTTAAAGACGGTTATTTCTCGTTTCTGGACAATATATTCCATTAATTTTGTTTCTGGATTTTAGCTATGTTTTGATTGGGGAACGGAGGTTTCAAAGTTTATATAAATCATGAACATCGACGCAATTGTAAACAAATAGTTGAACACACCGCCTAGTACAGACTGTTTATATTCACCTGGTAGTCACCCCGTCTTATTATCTGATTTTTGAACATTTTCTGAAAAAAATTTTTTTTGTTATTTTGAGCCCATTAACTATTGTACATTAAGACTGCATGGTTGATTTTTTTCAAAAAAATCTAAATTAGGTGACAAAAGCTCTCAAAGTTACCTTGTTTGAAAATTTACCCCATAGCAACGCCCTAGCAACGCATTTAGGTACAAAATTCACTCAAAATTTCGTCCCGAAATCACTTCAAACAAGTTTCTTTTATGTTTCTCCTTTTGGTGTATGTGATTTAGAATCTTCTGACTTAGCTGCATTGCGATTGGTTGCTTTGGGGAGCCATGGCAACGCGATTTCTTTGTCTGTCTTGTGATCGATCGCATTTGCATTCACTGTGAAATTATCGACAAAAATCTTAGTTTTTTCTTAAATTCCAAGTCGAAAAGTTGCTGTTCTAGTTTCCCAAAGATTCGTTTTGTTATTTGGATTGTAATTTGAAGTCAATAAATGAAAAATACGAAGAACAGAGCGATAAAATCCGCCTTCGAAGACGGCGAAGAAATTCAGACATGGCGAATCTCGTGACAAAGAAGCTGGACATTCCAGAGCGAAAATTGGCTCTCAGACAGCAAACTTTGGTGTTAATACCGAAATTATATAGACACTACAAGGAAAGGAACAGTATTTATGGATTTGTCAATTTTATTTAGTGTCTTTGATAACATTTTGAAATGTCCTGACAGTGGAGATGAACATGGATATTCTCATTACATTGTTTTACAGTTTGTGTGTATAAAAATAGTTCTACCCAGAAAACTTTCGGATGGAAAAGGAATATCTGGTAAAGGTCGGCTTACTGATGGTAAAATAGATGTTCTAGAAAATTATTACGGTCTGGCAAACAGAGAAGCCAAGCTGTAAAGGCATCTCTTCTCCATGTTGATTCGACTGATGAGAACCCGCAGCATCATCTTTGCCCGAAAGGAAAGTTTGTGTGGCTATCAAAGAGATAGCGAAACATATAAACACAAGAATGGTATTTCAAAGCCCATTGTTGAGTTGATTATATTTGCTGATTTGGCTAACACTGTCTTGTTGAATAAATCACACATAGCTTGACCCAGAATGCAAATGAATGTTTGGGCGGGGTCATCTGGGACTGATGTCCAAAGTCTACCTATGTAGAGCAGGAAAGAGTAGCTCTTGTCACCTATTTAGCAGTCCTAAAATTCAATGATGGGGACATTTATTTCCTCAAAATTTTTGAAGATTTGGATATAATGCCTGGATTCTTCACTCGTAAAGGTGCCCAAGACTGCGACAGAGCGACGATCAAGCTGTCGGCCCAAAGAGCTCAGAAAAGGTGAAAGTAAGGAGAAGGTCACTAAGACACCTCAGAAAGAAGTATTTAGATCATGCTGAGGGCATGGAAAGTGTAACTTATGAAGCAGATAGCTTCTGAACCTTTGTAATGTAAGAAAAACATGAATGAGAACTTTAAATTGGATTTTCTCAGTTTCGCAATTTGACATGTGTCAGTGATCTTTGTGATACTGTAATCTTCTAACTATTCATTGCAGAAGGTTAATATTTGGCATACTTACTGACTGTAACATTGTCTAGTAACTGTCATTCTTCAATTTTCAATATTTTTGATCCTTAATGAATTATTTGCAAATTACCTTCAAAAGTACCAGATTAAAAGTTGAAATAATTGAAAATTCCAAAATTTGACACTAAATTTTTTTAAAAACCATTTTGAACAAAATTAAAGTAGGTCAGTTACTAGATCAGGTTCTAAGCTTTTTAAAAATATATCATTCATTTGATTCCGATGACTGGTTCTTGAGATATCATGTTTACGACGCTAGGCAATTATGGGTTAATTAACGGCCGCCATATTGGATAATTAGTGTAATTAACGACTTTGTTAAAAAAATTTTGCATTGGTCATTTTCTTTCACCTGACCCTTTCAGAAAATGATATTTTTGCATAAATCTACTTAAAAATTAAAAAAAAAGTTTCAAGAGGGGTTGACTACCTTTAAGACTTCTAAGTATGATTGTTGCTTACATTTCATGTTCACTTTACATTTCAGATTCGTAATAAATTTATTTTACGTGCTTCAGGACTTCCTTCTTTTTATTTTTCATGCTTCAAGATCGCTGCATGTTATTTTTCGTGCTTCAGGATCGGTACCCCCCATTACCCCCCTCGTACAACCATGTAGCAATGTTTCAATAGTCATACAGTATATCTAGTATACGGTATACAGTATACAGTGCAGTATATATGTGTTAAAATAAGCGTTTATCCTGTTGTCATTACACAGATTGGCTGGTGTTATGTTACCAATTGGCCACTGGCCAAGTTAAAACCGAACTTAGTTAGCTAGTTATAGTCCGCAGCACGAAATCTGCCAGACGCTTAGATTTTGAGATGAAGTCCTCAATGTTCGGACTAGGAATTGATTACAGAAATGAATAAAGGAGTATTGATGGAATCATAAAATACAATGTCTCTCTATAGGTGGGTTCACCGTGACGTCACAAAATTTGACCTCCAACCGTTCGGCCAAAAATGAAATGCTAAAATAACAACGAGATTTAGCCAAAATGTTTCGATTCTTTTTGAGGTCATATTAGAAGCCACGTCTTAATCTTAAAGATGTTTTTTAACTTAATTGTGTGTATAACTTAATTAAACGGCCTTTCAAAAAAATGCTGACTCAGCAAAAAATATTGTCAAATCGCCGTTAACTGGAGGAGAAATACGTGAATCGACTCAAACATTTTTGTGAACAGTACAATCCTGGGAAAAATTATTGTGGATAGCGCACGCGGAAATGAAAATACCTGCTTGCCCAATACATACGTGCAAAAACAGCAATTTTTAACTCTCCCTCCCCCCGTTCAATATTGAAAGATTATAAATTGATTAGGTGAAAGCTTGGTGAAATTCATGTAAAAACCAACATTGCAGGGGGGAGACAAAGACGCCTGCATGTGTATTTGACCAGTAATACTTTAGTTTACACGTAAGTGTCCACATAATTTTTGCCATGATTGTAGCAGTAAGGATATAACAAAAATATTAAACATCCAGCATTGTACCTTTAATTTTAAAATATTTTGCCCTCCAAGTGAAACCCACCTATTAATTATTAAGTCATTCGGAATTAACGTTATCTGAGCTTTTCATTTGTGAGAAAATAGTGTCAACAGTCAAAACTTTCAAAGCTACTCGTTATATATAACCACACAAATGTTTTACAATTTAACAATATACTCAATATGTTCATATATTGCTCCTTTACTGTAGTGTCAGCAAATGATGCTATCTTAGTTGCGATGTAATTGTAACGTCATTTGAGTAGAACAGCGCCCTCATTCATAACAGCAACTCCATGCTGCTGTTAAAATATTATTAATTAAATTCTACTGAATTGAACCTTATAAAACATTTAAAGTGCCTATGCAACGAAAGTTATGTTATTTTAATGTTGCTTTTATTGGAAAGAACGTTTAAAATGATAGAATAACATCCTTTACAGTTTTTCCATAACTTGAGGTTTGTTGATTTTCAAATTACACATCTAATAACATCACGCTGCATAATGAATTATTGAATGATTGGGTTTTGTTACAAAGATATTTATTTAAGTCATTTAAAACTCCTTTTGTTGCGTTTAGTCAGGCAAAAATACCGAATATAACCTCAAAATTATGCAGTGTGATGTCATTGGTTGTGTGATTAGAGAATTCAACCAACCTCAATATATCAAGAATAAAAGATGTAAAGGATGTCATCCAATTATTGTAAAGTTCTTTCCAAAAAAAGTAAACTTTTAATTATATAATTTTCGTTGCATAAGCACTTTAAATTAACTATAAAAACGTTTATAAAATGTAAGCGTCCATATCGGAATCACTGTCATCACCATTTAGGATGTCGTCGACCGCATCAGACACAAGGTCAGAAAAGACTTGCTCACCATTCTCGCACTCAGTGCATTTACAAAGAGGTCCACATCGCATGTTTCGCGAAAAACAGGAACACATTCGGGTAGAGCATTTTGTCTTGCGACATGAGCAATAAATTTGCTCGAGTAGTTCTGGGGGAGCTACGGCAACCGTCATCCACTGAATAGCAAGTTGACATTCACCGTCTGAAGAAATCCATCCATGGCCAATAGGACTTGGAGCGTTTATCACCGGTTCCAATGATCTGCGCAGTATGGCAGCCTGGTAATTTGCCCTCTTTGTGTGCTGGGTGACTTCATCCATGATGGAGGGGGAGCTTGGAGTCCAAACAGAACTTTTTCATGAAAATTCTAAGTCGAACATCCAGCAACGAAGGTAGAATACTCTGACGGTTGTACAGCTGGCAGAGAAACTGCTCCAGAACATCCATTGGAACATTGGAAATAGACCATTCTTGCCCAAGGGTGGTAAAGGCGGAGATGTATGACGGGTTGGTGATCATAAGTTCGTATGGAGTCACTTTCCCCTTTCCTTTCCAGCAGCTGACGCTGTCGCAGCCAGTGAATGGGTGTAAACCCAGCAAAGCTTCCGCCACTCCATCTGGTAAAATACTGACTACCGATTCAATGTTGATAGTTCTCAAGTTTGCCAAATTACCGCGCTGAATATACAGTTTTCCAGAAAGTAGTTTATTGAGGCCGATGCAAATGATGAGTACATCTGTGTCATCAGACTGGATCGTAACTTCTTCATGTTGTTGAAAGGCATGCAAAGCGTGCAATCCCATCCTAGTGTCAGCTTCCTCGTGGTCAGAGAATAAGACATCTACTGACTCCACAGTCAAGTTCGTCGCTGACGCCTTGAACTTGTGACACTGACAGCCTTGTGCGAAGTATAACTCAACCTCTTGAAGAAAACTTGGATCGATTGTCTTCCAATGGTCAAAGAAAAACTCTATTAAGCTTTCCTTATTTTTTCCCACCGAGAGGAATTTCTTGAATTGCTTTGGGGTCTTCTTTGAACCATGGTCAACTTTTAAACGGATAACAGAAGCTCCTTTTCCTTTTCGCCTCTCTCTCTCAGCATTCTTAATGCTCAAATCGGGGTATCGGTCAGCAACGAAGTCAACTCTGGTGCAACGATGTTGAGTAGCTGTAGCTATCACACTCTTCAAGACTTTCACAGACAATGCATCGAATGTGATGGGAATGTCCTTCAGACGTTGAATTAGAGCCATGGCATCAATAATCCAAGCAGTGGAACCATTCAAATTCGTTACGTCTTCAACATTCTTCTCCAGGAAACGGCCTATGGCAGACTTGTCAGTCTTAGCTAACGTCCCGTCATAGTTGGCAAGCGACAATGGCACTGGGCACAGAGGGAAAGACAGTACGTAATTTAAGTCCAAGTTATTAGACTTGGCGACTATCAGAACTCGGGCAAGATCTCTTGCTGTAGTTTGTAACACTGTATTTTCCGATTTTGCCTTAGTGGTCTTAGTGGTTGATGAAAACGTTTTGAGTTTCAGTGCTGTGATTACATCAAAAACCTCCAGTTCCTTTTTCTTTAGGCGTAGATCAATGTACTCAGAGCATTGTTCCTCTCCAGCAGTTTTGGCTCGTGCAATATCTTCTTTGACCTCCGGTGACGCAACGGCGCCAGAGACAATGTTGACCAACTCGTCATCCTCTATGGAAACAGGATTTGTCATTGCCTCTATGGTACTGATCACACTTTTCACCGACTTCTCATCATGTAATCTCCGAGTGATATCCATTTCTTTCCTTTGACGTGTATGATTACCACGACCAGCCATACTCTCACATATAGATTGAATCTCTGCTCTATCAGCAAAACTTTTAATCCATCGATGGACAGCAGATTTGTTAATTGAGAATCCAATCATACCACCTTTAGTTTTGGAATTCTTATTCAGCGTCTGCTCGAGAGTTTGGTCCATTGGAGTCTGGCTGAATGGCTGTGATGTACGTTGGGTTGCAAAATTTCCAGCTATCATTTGCTCATGAATATCTGGATTACTGGTTGGTAAGTTCAGCATTTCTAACCAGTATACGGGTAGGTAACGAGAATAGTGCACGCGGTCATACGCAAAAATCCAGGGTAGCATGCGTCGAACCGAGCTGAGGTGCAGAAACCAATCACCCGCTCTGGAAATAGAAACAGAAGTAATTTTTATCTGTTTATAATTAAATTACACATTACACAGCGTATACCTTTGAGAACTCGAACTATTAAAAAAGGTCGCATTAATCACAAAAACCCATAAAATAAAGCATAATAAGTGTTATAGTCTACTAACCTAGTTGCCCTTACGAATTCCAATAGTATATCTACCATTTCAAGGAAACTCAACCAATATGCAAAGGTCGGACTTGACTTTCCCTTTTCACTTGTAAATTCATTTAGTTTTCTCAGGAAATTTCGGACATCTTCACTCTCTGCAACTTCAGTAAAAGTTCCATTACTAAAAGCTGCCTTCAGATCATGTACTACATATTCCAATGAATTTCTCTCATCATCGGACATGAAATCTAAAAATGCGGTGATAACGAGACGATATATTGCCTCATAGACGATTTTCATTGATCTTATACTACGGTTGTAGTGTTTTCCTGACAAAACACCATTTATAGATCCTTCTGCGACGATATTGCTTTCAATGAGGATGTCACGTAAACCACCATCTTGAAATCGTTTGCCAATCACACCCAGAAAGCACATTATGACATGGAATTCACCAAGTCGTAGAACTAATCGATTCTGAAACACATCATCGGTCCAACGGATCAACTGAGCTTTAGCATATACGGCTTCATCCATGACAACAACAATGGAATTTTGGTTCAGTTTGTCTGCTATGTCTATGCTTTGTGAAAGAACAGCGTTAACGACACCAAGATCTGTAGGACTGCCATCAATAATAGGAAGATAGCCAATCCGACTCTTATCAGGAACCAGTGTCGTGAGCTGTGTAAAAAATCCACTCCATGATGGTAAAGGTTCTTCTTCTTCTTCTTCACAGCGAAATTTTGCTAGAACGTAGCAAATGTTATCATATCTATCACCACTACTTTCGTCTATGGCAGTAACTTCAAATGTTGCAGACGGACTCTTTTTCTTCAAGAAGATTGGCTGTATTTCTGTACTCGATACCTCCACTCGTTTCCCCCTTGACTTGGAAATTGCCTGACGATTTTCATCATCCACTACAGAACCTTCAGACATTCGTTGTATAACTATACCAGTGGTGCAATGTGTTGTTCCTTTACCACTTAGTGTTTCTTCGTTTATGTCATTGTTGTCAAATACACATGTGGTAAATGACTTACTGAACCCGCGTGGTATAACACTGCTTTGCTGTGCACGGTATCTGGCAAGATCTGAGTCATAATCGATGACTGCCTTGGTAGACATACAGTGCCCCAGTCCTGATACAATGTCAATTAATTTCGAACTGCCAGTAACATGTCGAATGGTGAGGCCAAGAATAAGATGCTTGGGTACGATTCTTCTTCCTTTGGACTTGAGAAAGATAATGTCTTGACAGATGGACAATATCTTCTGACGATCACTGTCGTTGTCAAGCTCTACGAATTTTTTCTCACTAGCGGAAACTGGTTCACCGCATGCACCAGTTATCCAAGCCAGGAAATTAAACAGTTCAATTGGCACGATTTTTTCTGCAGCGTCTCCCGTGAGATCGGAGGCCAACGGGGGGTTTGGAACATTTAATCGTGGAGACATTTCAATGGCTCTCTTCACAATTTGGGACGAGATGAATAATTCTCGCTGATCATTGTGTTCTAAATTCCCCATGGTGCGCACTTCATCTTCGTCACTAGATTCCTCTGTCGATGCATGGGCCACAAACATAGTATTTTGTTCGCGACTGCAAACCAACTCACAGTTGGCAATGTCTTTGACTTTGATATATATCAAAGACGGGAATGTTTTCTTCAACTTCCGCTTCAAGTTCCAATTTGAAAAATACGGTGCATCTGCATCTGGCTGCAAATAGCTGCTGTAAATTTCTGCCAATTTCGAGATCTTTATTACTTCACCCCCCTTAATAATACGGTCTTGAATGATTTCACTACAGAATTTCGAATAAGCATCATCAGTTGACATATCGTGTTCTACTGGAATATATGTGAACGTTCTAAAGCAGGAGTGGTGATATTGAGCTTCCTTTGCTTTTAAATCTTCCCCTTTAACAATAAACAGAACTTTCTCATCCTGCTTCTTCCGAGCAGCAAACTTGATAGCATTTTCTGCGCTTGGTGACATACACTTAGTCAACGGCTCAGGCTTATACGCCCCTAAGACAAAAATAACTATTGATCATATCAAATATACTATTAGGTCAGTGCATATGACAGAAATAACATTGTTTAATCAGGAACAAAATATATAATGTATATAGGTGAAAAAAGTACAGTCAGAAATGCAATTCAAATATTGTTTATTCTATCTATTAGACAAACGAAGTAAACAACAATACTTTCTTAGTTTCAATAATACCTGTTGAACTATCTTTCTTGTATTTTTCCTTTTGACAGATAATGCATTTTTTCCCAAACAATGTCACTGTTGCTTTAACAATATGGCTCACGGTACCTTGACTTTGTCTTGTCTTTTTTCTGAAACACCGGGACCTTATTAAGAATTCGGAAGTAGGGTGTGGGAGGGGACATCAAGGAAAAGAGAACTCAGCAGGAGTGGTGAACATGGAAACTGTGAACTGATACGAGGGTTTGGGTATCCCCAACCAAATAATTTTTGTATTTTTGAACTTCAATGCTTTGGTGTCCTGCATTTATTTCCCACCTAAACAGACTGAACGTTTTATGATTTGCACTATGATCAATGTTAATACTCAGTCATAAAATTATAGAGCCAATCCTAGATGATGATAAAAATCTGCTTGACCGCGGTTGGAATCAAACCCATGAACAAGGTCGCAGGTTCGATTCCAAACACGGGTTCGACTCCAACCGCGGTTCGATTCCAACCACGGTCAAGCAGATTCCTCAGCTTGCCCAGTGTGGGTCACGGGTTCAATTCCAACTGCGGGCAAGCAGATTTTTCAGCTTGCCCACTACATTAAATCATTGCAAAAAAATCATGACATTGTTTATACTAATTACTATTATCACTAATATTGCTATTATTATGATTAACTACTAACTATTAACTACAACATTTTCAGTAGTGACAGATACAAGCAGAGGAATACACTAAACTAAGCTGCCTGCAATGTTTGGTTAAGGAAATATTAAAGCACTCTTCTGAACTAAGCTATTCATGTGCTTCGTTGATGTATGAACAACCAAAAGCCTAACCCTAAAGCTAGAGAAAGTCCTGCTCTTCATTTTTTCAGGGACCGCGGAGACGGGGGGGCTGGGGGGGCTTTAGCCCCCCTACTTTTTTTGACAGCCAAAATTATTAAAATAGAAATGTAAATGAAACTTTCTAAATTAATTAAACCTCACCCTTTAGCCCCCCCATAGGCGTACGGGGCGGGGGGGGGGGGCGTTTTTTGGGCAGTTGGGCAATTTTTTGGGCAGTTGGGCAATATCCCAGTTTTTTGGGCAGATTGGGCAAATTTTTGGGCAATTTTGGTTTGCAATTAAAAAAAATGGGACAAATTCTGTCAATTTTGTCTAAAATTAAGTAAATTTTTTGGCAAATTTTGTGATTTTTGGAAAATTTGTGTTATGTTCCGAAAAATATTGGTTGTCCGGAAAATTTTGACATTTTTTGGGCAATGTGGAATTGTTTGGGCAAAAAAGCTACCGCCCCCCCAGAATTTAGCGGCCCCGTACGCCTATGAGCCCCCCCACTCTCTAATACGCTCCGCGGGCCCTGTTTTTGCATGTATTTTAGACAAAAAGGACCATCGATGATGGGGGAGGGAGTTGATAGCACACATTTTCGAAAAATGGCTTACGGGTAAAACACAGAGAAACACAAGGACATTGATTTTATACATAGTTTTATATCTCCTGACAAAAATAAACAGTAAACAATTTGATGGATTTTAAGGCCTTTATAGAACCATAAAGATGCCGAATTATTGTTTAATATTCACTATAACTTTAATATTCATTAAAAGTTTAAAATTCAGTGGTAACTGGTAAAATATACCTGGGAATGCTTCGATTATTTTCATCATCCGAAGACTGAATACTCCTCTTCCTTGACGATTCTAGATTTTTCTTATTTGTAAAAAGCTGGTAACACTTTCGGTGGTAACCACATGATGCAGGAAATACTTGGTCATCCCCCACAAGTTCATTAACCAGTTTAGACGCAATAACAGCATATGATCGTCCATATTCATCTCGTGTTTTGATCCACTCTTGGGCATAATACAGAATAGTGTCGCCAGATTTCGCACTAACTTGAATAATTTTATCGTTTGGATCACTTCCTTTTTCAGAATGTATACAACACTCCATAATTTTTAAATAAATACAATGTTTCGTTCGGTAAAAACGATACTGTATATACCTATATGTTAAAACACATTGTTCGCCATGTTGTTTCTTCAAAATTGCGGGAATTATTTTGCGAGAATAAATTTTTGCGGGAATAAAAATAGCTTCAACCAATCAGAACGTTGATAGGAAGGGAGCACTGATCTATAAGTATGTCTGGAGCGAGTGGAAAAAGTTTTACGATATTTGCCGATTTTTTTGCATTTAGCGATGCGTTACGATAGAAAACATTTTGAATTACGAATAATAAGTATCTAAACGTGATATATCAAAACAGTTTTCATAATCCGAAAGAGTGAGGACTTAAATAAGCACGTACGGATTTCGTGCCACGGACTATTAGTACGTTGAAGGCTGGAAAGCAAGAATATTCTTCACCTCGCAACTGGATGCATATATCACTTCTGTCGAATAAAATTATGCCTCGTGAGAGAAGAGGTATTTCGCATGATTCCCAAGCGAACATGCATGTCTATAGGGGTTATCAGGGTGTCTAAGTTCAATATATCACGCAAACAAATTAAACACTAGTCACGTATTCACCAAAGCAGTAAATTAAGATCTGGCGTTTGAAGTTGACGTTTGGCGTATAAATTTTATGCTTGAACTGCTACGAGGGTTTGTAGTCGCTAAAACATGAAATTTATACGCCAAACGTAAACGTCAAACGCTAAATCTTAATTTACTGCTTTGCCCTTTGGTGAATACATGACTAGAGTTAATTTTTTTCTTGAATCATTGTTATAATAGAGTTGTAAAATCAAAAACTTCGTTAGCGGTTTACGTTTACCGTAAACGTCAAGCTAAAGGTCTCTAATCTATAGACGTATATACTACAAAGATAACGAACCATTTCGGTGGATTCAAAGCAGTTTGCCAAATTAAAACTACACCCAGTGTGTCTGTAAGAGATTATAGCCTGGTTCACACTAGCAAAGCTAAATCAAGAGGATTAGAGTAAAGCTAAATCAAGAGGATTATTCAGATTCATTCTCGTACCCAGAGCCCTTCTTACGCGCGGTGCGACGAGGGGCTCTGGCCAAATCCATAACCGGATACCATAAAAACATGGTAAGAAAACAATATCCGGTGTTAGAACTAGCCAATCAGATGCCATTTTGGATATAAATCTTGGCCAGAGCCCCTCGTCGCACCGCGCGTAAGAAGGGCTCTGGGTACGAGAATGATTCGGATTGGGCTGAAATTTCCGGCGCAGTTCCACAGAGTACGCAATTGGGCCATGGTTATATTTAATATTATAATATAGCAATTGTAAATTCTGAACGCTGATTGGCTAAGAACCGTGTTGATATAACTCAATGTCAACACGGAAACGTCGGAAAATTTCTTTCTTTATATTTCTTTGTGCTATATTATAAAACAAATATTAAACATTTTCCGTGTTGATATACAGTTATATCAACACGAGTGGAAAACGAGAAATTGTGTGGAAACACGCGATGTCCGAAGGGCGGAGTGTTTTCACACAATTTCGAGTTTTCCCAATTTCCACGAGTTTTAAATTTGTTAAATCATCAATGAATTAACAACCTCTAGTGGTGACATGTGGAAGTTCGTAGACGACACGACCGTAGACGAATTAGTCAGCAAATGCAGGGAAAGTAGAATCCAGATCACAGCTAACGACGTATCAACACAAATCAGTTCTGAACTAAAATTTCAGCTCAACGAAAAGAAATGCAAAGAATTACGCATTGGTTTTGGTAAATCAAGTGCTGATTTTGATCCAGTTATTGTCAGCGAGGTAGTTCCTTGTGCAAACATTCTTGGAGTAACCGTTTCCAGCAATTTGAAATGGAATGATCACACTATCGAACCATCGTGAAAGCAAGAAAGGATTGTATTTTTTGACACAACATGAACGTTCCAAAGTTGAGATTGATAAATTAGTTTCATTTATAGCACATGCATCAGACCAAGTTTGGAATATGCATGTCCTGTTTTTCATAACAGTTTGTCTAACTATTTATCTGATGATCAGATCTAGAAATGATTCAGAAGAGAGCATTGAGAATTATCTACACTTGGACCCCATATACTGACGCACTGACACTCACTGGTCTTCAAAATCTCAGTACCAGAAGAGAGAAGATAACCCATAAACTTTTTGAGGACATTACGATGGACGAAAATCATAAACTTTAGACGAATTTCTCCCACCCCGAAACACGTGTGACACCGACCTTAGGTCCAAACATAATTTTAACACAAATTTCCGAACAGACCGTTTTAAATATTTTTTTATTGCTAGAGCAGCCTCTTATCTATTGTTCACCAAACTTTAGTTAGTTTTGTATAATTTGTAATATTGGTACAAGTAGTAATATAGGGGCCGATCGGGCCGGATTTTTGAGGTGGTGGATGAGGTGGTGTGAGGTGGTGGAGTGTGAGGTGGTGGAGTTTTGAGGTGGTGGGTGTCCACCACCTCATTTATAATTAATACTCGTCCAATTGAGGAGGAGTAATGACGTCACTCATTAACATACGTCATAATTATATGCAATGACGTCACGCGGGCAGGTTTAAACACGATTGGACAAAATTTGCTGACTAAGCATTTTTTAGCGTCCCTCCACGTTTATGATACAGCTCTAGCATTTTGCTGTGATTGTCAAGTGATTCCTTTAATTTAGCTCCTAGAGGAGTAAAAAAATCTGATACTATATGAAATAGCATTAGTGTTATATATCTAAAACTTATATATTCGGGGTATACAGCTATATGTTTTGTTGTTAAGTAATATATAAATATTATCAAGCGTCAAAACGCTGAGAAATAGCATGCGGTAAGAGTTATGTATCTACAATTAAGCTAATATTTAAATCCCGGTCTGCCATATGAGGTCTATATACGAGAGAATATGTTGCTGTTTAGAG